AAGATTTATCGTACATAACATACTATGAGAATCAAGAAAACAACATTAAGTGTTAGAGGAATTTTACAATACTATATAACATTGGTGCTATAGGTTTTAGCCTTTATGGTACAACTTGAAGTTGTACATTTAACGTTATGGTACAACTTTATATTGTACCTATACTTTTTGTACAAATTCTTTTATGGTACAACTTGAACTTGTACTTTTATGTGATGGTACAACTTCAAGTTGTAAAGTTGTACCATAACATAATGGTACAAATTCCTTTATGGTACAACCTAAACTTATACATTTAATGTTATGGTACAACTTTAAGTTGTACATTAAAGCACCAATACTATATAGCATAGTAGAAGTGCTCTAATTGTTAACCTCAATGCCTTACATCCTAAACTACAATTAGTAGTTGTCAAGTATCATGGTTAAGCCCGGTGAACTCTTAGATGGAGAAATACATCTTGGCAAGAGCTTGAGTGTCTTACCTTATAAACCTCAACTAAGAGCATTGAGACGTTATTTTGAGAATTAATACTGGTTTCCTTTGTTAAGGGATGGGAGGATTTGAAAGAAAAGCCCCCAACTAAGAGCATTGAGACGTTCATGGGCTGATTTCCTTGCTTGTAAAGGACACAACCTTGATTTTGGCACACATCCTATTGATGAATGCGATCCAACTCTTTGCTATTGGATTATGTATGATGTAATGGGATGCCCATGAACGTTCAATCATCAATTTGATCTTAGACGTTTAGGCGTCTGTCTTCTACAAAAAGCCCCCTCTTCTTGGGGCACTAGGTGCCGACTGACCTTCTTCTGCAGTCCGTTCGGCTTGGTTCGGCTTGGTGTCATATATTAACAATCATTCCGCTACAATTAAAAAAAACATAAAAGGACATGATTTCAAGGCACTTAATTACATACTGTTACAGAATTACAGAGGGAGAGAATAACATTTTCTCTGGATAAATGCCACAATTGGTCACTGAGATTGCTAAATCATGTCATGTTTAGTCACTAGAAAAAATTAATATCAATTTTGGTCACTCGAATTACTGAACCATGTCACATTTAGTCACTCTCCCGTTAGTTTCTGTCCAACTCCATTAACGAAGTTGGAAGGAGGCTAACCGAGAGTGGATAAATGTGACAGGTTTCAGTAATTCGAGTGACATTCATAAAAAAAAAAGTAATTTGAGTGACTAGAGTTGGACGGAGGCTAACGGGAGAGTGGCTAAATGTGACCTGTTTTAGTAATTCGAGTGACCGAAATTGATATTAATTTTTTCTAGTGACTAAACATAACACGATTTAGTAATTCCAGTGACCAAATGTGACATTTACACCATTTTCTCCCAAGAAACGGGAAAGAAAGCCAATAGTATAATCTACTGGGTAATTATCATAAACGGTCACACATCTATGCACTTAGTACAAAATGATAAGATATTTTTTATTTTGCACGATTCGATACCACAACTTTGAACTTGTACGAAACAGTCATTCCGTCCATCTCCATCCATAAACTAAACGGATTGCTGATGCAGCTTCCAAATAAACTTCTTAGGCAGCAAATAATTAATAATTATTATATAATTATTATTTTAACCTTTTGAACTGATCTACAATAACTAAATTATTAAAAATAAATAAAAATAACTTCCATCTCTCTCCTCTCCTCGCCTCAGTCTCCTCGGCACCCACCAAAAAGAATGAGCGCCATTTTTGCCGATCACCATCACCATTACCATTCCCTCCTAGAAAACTTCTCCTCACTAGACCCAAATACCACCTGGATGACGACATGGCGCATTTGTGCAAGCACCTCCCATGTTGTCATAACCGGGGTGCTCAATAGTACGATATTGTCCGCTTTGGGTCAAGCCCGCACGGATTTACTCTTGGGTGTCCTCCTCAAAAGGCCTCGTACTAATGAACTTGGTGGACACTAATATACAAGGGTTCCTTCCCTTGTTTTACCGATGTGGTACTTGGAATGTTCCATAACAATCCTCCCCTCAAGACAAAGACCACGAAGATCGTGTCCTCACCTCAGCGATTATCTTGATCTGCCAGACGCCTTGTATCGATGGGCTTCTCGGTACAAAGACTTTACCAGACGGAGAACTTTCTTTGATATGCCAAACAGACGTGGATCTCTCCTGGATCCACCAAACAGCCCAGACACAGAACTCTCTTTGATCTACCAAACAGACGCGGATCGCAAATCCCGAGGTCACCAAACGAGGGTCCCACCAAACTGACGTCCACCGCCCCGAACCGAACTAGGCTCTGATACCACTTGTCAAAATCGGGCTGCTCAATTAGTACAATATTGTCCGCTTTGGGCAAAGCCCGCACGGTTTTACTCTTGGGTGTCCTCCCCAAAATGCCTCGTACTAATGAGCTTGGTGGACACTAATATACAAGGGTTCCTTCCATTGTATTACCAATGTGGTACTAAGAAGGCTAATCTGGATCTCGATGATGATGGCGACCTCCGACTACTTCCGCATGTACGATTTCAAGATCCGCATCCAGTCGGAGAAGAACTCGCCGGCGGCGGCCAGGAAGATCAATCACCACCATTAGGACATCAACCATTGCGGTGGCCACTTGGCCTGTCCCGGGAGGCCATGAATTTCAGCAAAGAGGCAGCCGCCGCAACACTAGTAGCTGCCGTGTCGTCTCCCAATTCTGCACGTAGTATGAACTATGATAGTCGGAGCCGCGGTGGTGGGAGGAAATTGAAACTTAGCATGGACTCATGGATTAATTAGGTTTATCATCAGCTGGGAGCATAGTTAGTAAAATACGGTACGGGAAAGTTACGGATATAATACGTACGGGTATTTTACTTCATTTCTAAGCTAATGTTACGTTTAATAGTACGTTAATAGTCATAAATATATAAAATAAATTATTTTTTAAAATAAATAAATATATAAATAATAGTAAAGTTAACAATTTAATTCATTAAATACGGATATAAAACGTGTTATACGGATTTTATACGTGTTTGGTACGGGAGCCACCAAATGAACGGAAAAAAATGAAACGGCTTGACAAAAATACGGATACGGAAGTTTTAAACGGATAAAGTACGTACGGGTACATATACGTGTATTAAACGGAGTATTTACTAACTATGGCTGGGAGTTGCAGGGGTGGGTGAAATTGTAGCGGACCTTGGGACTTTGGGGGGAGGGATTGACGGGGAGGAGATTGTCTATGCTCGATTGGCTCTGTGAAGCGCGACGACAGCGAGGGATTACCGAGGCAAAGAGAGAGAGGGGAAAGCTATTTTCTTTTATTTTAATGATTTAATTATTGTAGATTGGTTTAAAAGTAAAATAATAATTAGATAATTTTTTATTAATTTTTAGCTGACTAAGAAGCGTAGTTGGAAGCCACATCAACAATCCGTTAAGTTTTTGGATGGAGATGGACGGAAATGACTATTTCGTACAAGTTCAAAGTTGTGTTACCAAATCGTGCATAATGAAAGTTTCCTTACCGATTTGTACTAAGTGCATAGATGTGTTACCGTTTATGATAATTACCCATAATATACTGGAAGGATGATGCAGCAAGAAAAGAGTCCCAAATATAAACGCTCGCTTCCATAGCCGTTATTGTCGATTTCAGCAAAAGAGGTCTGGGAAGGGTTGGGCTCGCCGAGGAAGAGGAAGACCGAAGTAGGGATGACAATCATACCCACCGCCGCGAGTACCTGACTGCCTCCGACCCAGTCAACTTGGGGAATCCCCTCTTTGACTGGGTATGGGGCGGGTATGGGTAAAACCCGCGAAGAATCTGATGGGTATGGGGCGGGTTTGATTTTAGGTGCCCCACCCCATACCCAACCCGTCAAACTTATTTGTTATATGCAAAAAATACAAGTACTTGTTTGTAAATTGTTAATGACAAAAAGGGTAAATAAAATAATTATAGATGGCTAAAATATAATTTGTCTTATCAAAACCCTAAATGAAACCCGCATCAACGCATCTCAATTCTCACACAGGCCGCAGCCGCTCCATCAAACACCCTACTGCTGCTAGTCGACTCTCGCAGTCGCCGCCGTGGCCCTGGAGGCTGGAGCACCTTTCTTCTTCCTGGCCTCCGTCACGTCACCAGCATCCAGCTCAACCTCTTTATATTCCCCATCTTCACGTAGTACGCCTCCCTAAACGCTGTAACAAAGAGCCTGGAAGATAGTTACTCTCCAGCCATTGTGAATTGCTCAACATCAATGAGGATATGCATCTCTGCTCTAGAACAGAAGGAAGAAATGAAGAAGAAGAAAGAGCAGAGCAAAACGTCATCGCAAAGGGAAAGGACTGAACGAAACTGTGTGCTTCAGCAACGAAAAGGATTTCCAATTTAATTGTACAACTTTACACGTGTTAGCTTGTAATTGGTAGAATTAAATTGTTAGTTAGCATTAGCCGTTAGATAACAGTGATTAGTGAAACTCTGTATATATATTGATTGATTATCAATGGAAAGCTCATCGAGCATTTTCCCCCAGATCTGATTTCTTCTCATGGTATCAGAGCCTGGTTGCTCTTACCTGTGCTAGGGTTTCGCCTCCTGCATCCCTCTCCCTCGTCATCTCCTTTTTTTCTAAAACCCCTCTTTACTCAAGCTGTTGAATCATGGGTGATGAAACATCAATCGGTCCTGGCAAAGCAAAACAGTCATTGATGGGTTCCTCTTCCTCCTACGAAGATCACTACCTCAATCTCTACTACCTTTCGCCTCAAAATGGAGCTCTGTCTACCATCATCTCGTGAAACTCGTTGATGGAAACTACCATACATGGAGTCAAGTGATGCTTGTTGCTCTGGGAACCAAAAACAAGGTCGCCTTCATCAATGACACCATTCTTGTCCAAAAGGTAACAGATCCCACTTACCAGTCTTGGCTCCGTCGTAATGGGACTATTCGCTGCTGGATTTATAATTCCTTGGCTGAAGATATAACGAATAGTGTTATGGGTCTGGAGAGTGCTCAAGCTGTTTGGGAAAATCTGAAGAACAGATTTAGTCAAGAGGACAACATTAGGGTTTTCGATTTGGAGGGTCAGTTGGGCAAATGTGTCCAAGGGGAACAATCTGTGAGTCAATATTTACCTCCGATACTGTGATATGGGAGGAATACAAGAAGTACAGACCTATTCCTACTTGTCCTTGCAAAGGTCCTTATGAGACGATGAAAAGGTACTAGGACAATGACTTTGTAATCAAATTTATGCAAGGTTTAAATGAGATATATCAGTCTGCTAGGACTCAAGTCCTAATGAACTCTCAGTTGCTCTCCATTGATGTTGTTTTTAAACAAATTATGCAACTGGAGCGTCAAATGAAAGGTGTTACCAAAAGCAAAGGAGTTGATTCTATAGCACTAGCATCTGGCACACCTCAGAATGATCAATCTAAACTGTAGAGATTACAAAGATGGAAAGAAGTTCTATAGGTACTGTAAGAAGCACAATCACACCATTAGTGAGTGTCTGAAGTTGAAAAAACAAGAGGTCAAGAGAAGTTGGCAATACAAGTTTTGCAGGGTCTATTGAGACTGGAAATTATGCCCACAAAATAACCCTCTTTCCTCTATTCTTTCTCCAAGTAGTACAAGCAGCATGACCGAGTATGAGAGACTCGGGTACGAGAAGTGCATACAGCACAGAAAGAGTTTTAGTTACTCAGAGCTAAATGGAGAGATATCATCCTAACTTATATGTACATATCGAAATTTGAGACGAGCAAGCAGCAGTTTTCTATGTACAATGACAGGAAATGGAGGAAGCACCTTGCTGATCAGTTGCAGGCAAGCATAGACGACAGACATGAGTTCATGGTTTCATTGCTGTTGCTGTTGTGGTTTCGATTGTTTTCTTGCTTTCCAGTGCTTCTTGGTTTTCTTGGCGTTATCCATGTGAGAAATCTGCTCACGGTCCAGAAAATGAAGAGACACAAAGACAAAAAGGTTAGTTTATGTGGGGAGATAAGGAAAAAGTGGTTAAGAGATGTGAAAAAGGCGCGGCATTGATAAAGACTCACGATATGGGATTTCCACTCGAACTTCTCGTGGCCATGTGCAGAAGCAGGAGGAGCAGATTGAGCATGGTTACGAACTTTGTGGAATATGTGCACCAGCACAACAGCGTCTAGAGCAGCGTACTCCAGCTGTATACAGAAACATTACGCAGTATTCAACATTAGTTCATGTCATGATTTTCAGCTATTGGCATATACGGTGTGGGATTAAGAAAAGTGTTCATCAGGGGTTCATCGTATTATTCATTAAAATGAAGTTTGTCATTGTGGGGATTGAAATAATACCTGGTTCTGGCTAAGAGGACGTGTTTCCCAGTTGCTATTTCGCCTTGTCTTGTTTAACCCTGCTCCCAGGATTTTCTGGTCAAATCCAGCAGGCATAATAATGAGAAGAGGTTAAAAGGGTAAACAGAAATGCTGTAAGGAAAGTAGACAGAGCTTAAATGCATGGAGAATTGATGGTTGACTTTCAAGATTACCTCTGCAAGCCCTGACAAGCCACCACACGGTTCTTTGAATACATTCTGAACATCCAACAACATTTGGTACTGCTTGAAACAACTGAGCTCTCCATATGAACCAGCCAGCTGCTTTATATCACATTGAAAGTTGTATCCTGCCAATCAATCCAAGACTGTAACATTTAAGCAAAAAACACTTTCTGAAGGTTGAACCAACCATTGATTCTTTTCAAACTGTATATAGGTATTGTACTAAGAAGCTCCATACCAAGTTTCAGAATTCCAGGAGACTGCAAAATGCGAGTTAGACAGTTGTCTAAAACTTCAGGCACGTCTTCAGATAACTTTATCAAGTCTAGAATAAAAGCCATCTCCTCGGAAGCTATTTGCATGATAGCAACCTGAAACAATAGAAACTTCAATATTTTCAGAAGAAAAGAAAGAGCAGATATGGACATATGATCTCACTATTTGAGACACCATTGCGGGAGACAACAGTTTGTAAGACGATTGGAGAAAATTACCTTGTTCGGTTTGCTGCCTTTCTGGTAATTAGGTTTCCATTCACAGTCAAGACCAACAACTTTGCATCCTTCTATGTGAGAGGTAGCATCATGAAGACCATCAACTTCATCAACCCAGACAATATCTTTGGTGATTAACTCGTTTAGCTGCAGGTATCTACTATGCTGAGCACTTATCTCGGGTTCTGGCAACAAAATTTGACAGCAGTATGTGAAACACCTTTTAAGTTTTGACAACTAGATGCAAGCAAACATACCATGGAGCACGAGTGTGCTAATAGCTGTAACTTTCGACTATATATCTGAACTGAGAAACATTAACTGATCTAGTCATTTTGTCTTCGTTTCCCATATGATATGTTCAGACATCAAAATTAGCAAACATGATCTAGTTCTCTTTATGGGGCACACATTATCAAGTTAACCCTCGAAGAAATTTTCTTGTAACCGGATAGCCATGGTATAATGTTAAGCCAAGGCATGCAAATATAAACAATCTGATAATTGCTACTACTTTATCAAACACAAACTTTACCAAACATATTACTGTAACTACAAGGGAGATGATATAAGGTCTTACAAGAAAGACCTTTGAGTTTTCTAAAGCCTTCAAGGGAGTATCGATCACACAGTTCATCAACTTTCTCCGAGTATCCAGCCTCCATTGCCAAGTAAACCTAGAAATAAATAGAATCACCTTTAGTGCCTATATCTGCAAATGTATTTGTTTATTCAATTTAGATGTGTATGGAACAAATAACCATGCACGACAATAACAAATATAAGATCCTATCTTTTTCAACTAGGCAGGCAATTTCTCTGTCTCATACAAAAATTTGAAGGCATGTTTGCATCTGGGACCATTTAGCTACCCACCCTTGAAGTTAATACTAACATAGGAAAACAGGAAGTGGGATATCAAGAGAATCTGGACAGAGACCCCATGTAATGCAAACTCAAATTGCCTTGATAAACAAGCCATCTGAGATCTGAATAACAAGAGAACGTAAACGCATGCGTGAACTGCTAACCAGATATTCAAGGAGTTGCTCATCGCCATGTGCCTTGGTTTCTGCCAGATCCCACAGTGCCTTCTCTGCTAATTTCTTCAATGAGCTGCCAATTCAAATGCCGATATGAATTTTGCAGTAGCTTTTGAAATAGGATTAAACACCCACTCGTACTTGATGAAGTAGACAAGGGAATTTTAAATTACCTTTCTTTGCACTTAAAGTATACAACTGGAAAATCTTGCTTCAGGTTGTTTTTCTTTATAATGTCGTATGCTGGCTTCAGCATTTTCCTATCAACGTACTCTTTTACAAGAGTACACAACATTTCCTTCCCCATGAATGTAGCCCACTTTTCAGCTGCTTTATACTGATGTATGTCCAGCATCTTCACGAGGAAAGAGTGACCAGATTGACGGATGGAGAACTGTTCTAGCAAAATGACTGCTGTCATATAAGCCTGAGACTCCACCAACTTAAAAATATGATGCTCAACATATGCTTTGCCTGTGTCAAACCTAGAATCATTTTGGGACTTCAATTGGGACATAGCTTCATCCATGTCAGTCATAGTGACGTGAAAAACTTCGAGTATTTTCACCCCGATTCTCTCATCGAGAACAGGAAGTGATCCTTCCACTATATCAATAAATAGCCGAGCTGCTAAAACTTTTGATATAGAGCTGTCCTCTGCCGTAGTTACAGCATTTCGGAAACGGTGCAAAGCAGATACAATCAAGTGACTGAACCCATCACAGTATATTCCAAATACAGGCAGCACAAAGAGGCATCGAGCAATGAAGGTAGCAGGCCCTGGTTGGGGAGAATTATACAGAACCAGATGCACTTGGTGTTGAAGAGCTCTAAACTTTTTAGTTGCCTTACATGTACCTGCAAAAAGGAGATCATAATTTCATAATCAAAGCTGGATGTTATACGTTGTAACAAGTAACGGAGTAGTACGTGAGATTGCAGGAAAGAACTCGTTTGAAGAAATAGACAACCTAAATCCCGTCATCGACAATAGACAGCCTAAAGCCTAACGAAATTTCATTGAAACCACGGGGAACCATTTGCCAGTTCCAAATCACTCCAACTGCCAATCGATCACCTAACTCAATCATCTACAAACCCATTTCATTTTAGCTGACCATTCTTCATAACATCCAACCAAGCCAGTAAAGGAAAAGATTATCATCTTTAACAGAACATACTATTCAAGAAAACAACAGAACTTACCATGAACATAACACTCTTTCAAGAGATACAAGAAGACCACAGGAGAAATGTGAGTCAAATCAGAAAAGGCATGCACCGATACTGCCAGGGACCCATGAAGACCTTTGTCTCCATCGCTATCAGGCCGTGCTTCTTCTTTCTCCAATCCCATGAGTAGAAGAATCAACAATGAATCTGACCAAGAAAGAAACTCACTCTTTAAGCAAGGACACGACACATAAACCAAGAGAACTACACAATTATACTGAGGTAAGAAAAAAATCCAAAGTGATTAAAAAGGAACAAATAGAGTTTCAATCTCTTAGAGAGCTCGTATCAACACTTCATTCAACTAGTCACGAGCTTGAAAAATAAATCCTTATGCAGAATAGACTTCACATAAACATGTGAAACATCACATCTTTCAGTTATGGAAAAGAAAAGGATTGGAGCCAAGGAACAAATTTATCAACCTTCCTCTTCCAGAAAGAAAGTATGGAGCCATCTGCCTCCATTACTTAGCTATAACAAGACATTCCAGCATCAGAAACAGTAGCCTAATGGAGAAAGGGGGAAACGCCAAAACAAAAGTCTGGAATAGTACACAAAAATAATTAACAATTATAGAGAACCAACCTTTCACACACACCTCTCAATCTATACAGTGACCCGAGAACGTCAATATATCCAAACAGCAACCTACTTTCAACCAGAGCATATACCGTCGAAATCCCGTGGAAAGCAAAGAAACAAAAAAAATTACTACATCCAAATTCCACCAACAGAGCGAATAGAATACTAGACCTGTTTGGTCGCCGAGAAAACACAAACGAGAACGCCCAAACAGGGGAAAAAACGAGGAGGAGGCCAAAGCTCTCCGCAGCAACAATGTGAACCGTCCGTCAGAAAAACGACGAAGGGAGATAGAGACAGAGAGAGAATGAGAGAAAAAAACACCTTGGTTTTCCTGAGCAAATTTCTTCCGTTTTCTAGGGAGCCAAACAGTGCGAGCGGTAAATGAGGCGGGGGGGACGGTTACCGCGGTGAACCGCGGCAGTAAATATTCTTCTTCTTCTGATGCTTCTCCGTCTTCAACCACCGCGGCGGTGGTGGTACGTCGCTTCTGCCGCAGCTTCTGCGTGTCCAGCCTTCTCTCGTCTGCTGCTCTGCGAACGACAGCGAGCTTAATATTATTATTATATAGGTGCAGTGCAGAGACAGAGTAACGGCCATCGAAATCTTTCTTTCTCTCTCTGCTCTAACTCTTTTCCCTTTTGCCCTTTTGTATTATTTTATTTGCTTCTTTCTTTTTTCTTTGTTTTATTTTTTATTTGCGCGCTGGGGGATGATGAGCAATGGGATGACGGAGTTACGTTGCGGGCCCACCAGATATCTTTCCACAAATGGCTGCCTCTGCTCTTCCTTCTTGGGCCGGCCCTTTTCCCTTAACCTCTTATTTTTCTTTCATTTATTTTTATGTTGTATTTTTGTTTTCATAATTAGGAGATAAAATCCAAATTGTTGAATATTATTATAATTTATAACCAATTTGATTAATCAAACTCACTTTTCTTATTTAAAAAAGTATTCATTGATTAATTTCCAATGATAAAATATTATTTGCCAACTTTAGTTGAATAATAGTTGAAAAAAAAGTTTATTTGTTTTTCCTCTGAAACTAGTGTTGAAGAGTGTTTCGCGAGATCGGCCGATGGCCGCCGTGCAGGGCGCTCCAACTAATTGGGCTCAGCTATTCGGCGTCGGAGAGTCCAACCTCCTGCAGTATGTTGCCCCAGATCTTGTTAATGGATCCTTAGTCATTCCAAGAGCGGTGCTGGAGGATGGCGACACGCTCTGGTAGGGCAATTTCTTTCTTCGGCGCCAGAGATCGCGCAATTGAGGAGCTGGGCGCGTCGGTTCTGGTCAGGGATTGGATTTAAGAAATGTGTTTGATTGATCATAAGATCCTTGGCTCGCAGTTTACATGGTGGGACAAGCAATCAGCGAACCCCATAGCAAAGAAACTAGATCGTTTCCTTGTGAACGAGGATTGGTTTCTTGCCTTTCCTCAGAGTGTAGCAAAAACTCTGGCTCCGAGGGTCTCAGATCATTGTGGTTTGGTGCTGGATTCTACTCCTTTGCTAGGCTCACTTCCCAAGCCTTTCAAGTATTTCAAGTACTGGCAGAAGCATCCTCAATACCCATTGCTGTTGGCAGAAGCTTGGGGGCAATTAGTTAGGGGGTTATATTATCAGCAATTCTACAACAAGCTAAAGGTATTCAAGAACAAGCTAAAAAAGTTAAATCATTCGGAGTATTCTGATATTTCAGAGAGGACTAGAGCAACAGAACTTGCACTTGCAGAGCAGCAGCAGGTAGTTCTTCAAGATCCAACTGAAGAGAATGCACAAAAGGAGCTCGAGTTGGCTGAATTGTGTCATAATTTGCAATTGGCAGAAGAGAGCTTTTTCAGGCAAAAGTCCAGAATTAGAAATATATAGGAAGGTGATGCAAACACAGCTTATTTTCATGCCATGGTGAAAATTAGGAGCCATAAGCAGACCATTATGAAGCTGATTAGGGACGACAATACGGAAGTGACTGAGGTTAAGGAAATGGGTGATGAGGCTGTTAAGTTTTACAGAAAGCTTTTGAGGGAAGTTGACAGAGAAGTTAAAACCCTTCCAGTTACCTATTTCCAGCAGCAGCTAAGAAGAAGATTAGATGCAGAAGGTGTTCAAGTTTTGTTGACTCCAGTTACAAAGGAGGAGATCAGGGAGGTGTTTAAAAAGATGCCAAATGATAAAGCCCCTGGTCCGGACGGCTTTACTGCTGAGTTCTATAAATCAGATTGGTCTGTTGTTGGAGAGTTGGTGGAAGAGGTGGTTCTGGAATTTTTTCAAACATGAGTAATGCCTCAACAGGTAAACTCCACTATTCTCTCTTTAATACCTAAAGCAGTTGCTGATAAAATGAAAGATTTTAGGCCTATCTCCTGTTGCAATGTACTCTATAAAGGAATATCTAAAATTTTAGCAAATAGGTTAGCAGCAGTGCTTCCTCAGGTTATTAGTAAATCACAGTCAGCTTTCATAAAGGGGAGGTTAATTAGTGACAATATTCTGATGGCTAGTGAGTTAGTAAAAGATTATCATTTGAAGAATACTACATCGAGATGGGTGCTGAAAATCGATCTAATGAAGGCTTTTGACTCGGTGAATTGGTCTTTCCTGTTTAATATGCTTCTAGCCATGGGATTTCCAGAATCATATGTAAGACTTATAGAGGCCTGTGTTACCACTCCAAAGCTCAGTGTCTCCTTTAATGGAGGCCTGTGTAGTTATTTTTCTGCTGGGAAGGGGCTTAGGCAAGGAGATCCCCTCTCCCCATATCTGTTCACAGTGGCAATGGAGTACTTCTCATGTCTAATTCATAAAGCAGCTATTGATAATCAAGTTCCATATCATCCACGCTGTAAAGCACCAGAGATCACTCATCTGTGTTTTGCAGATGATCTCTTAGTGTTTACAAATGGATCCATTTGAGGGGTGGCTGGTATACAAAGGGTGCTTGCACAGTTCTATGTTGAATCTGGTCTTGTTGTAACCCTACTAAATGTTAATTGTTTTGTTGTGGCATCCTTGAAGAAGAGAAGCAATGGATATCCTCTCTTACTGGGTTTCCTCTGGGGAGTCTACCTGTTCGTTATCTTGGAGTGCCACTTATCTCAGGTAAATTCTCTTCTGCTGACTGTTTCGTGCTCGTTGATAAGATAACAAAGAGGATAAGGACTTGGCAAGCAAAGAAGCTTAGTTATGCGGGTAGAATGCAATTAGTGTCATCTGTTATTACTAGTATTATGCAATACTGGATGGCCTTGTTCTTACTGCCTCAAAGAATACTAAAAGATATTGAAAGAATATGTAACCAATTCTTGTGGGGTGTTAGAGGATCGAGTCTAAGAAAGAGATCATTGGTTGCTTGGGATTTGGTGGCACTGCCAAAGAATGAAGGAGGTTTGGGGATAAGGGATTTTAAAAAATGGAACCAAGCTTGCGTAGTTCGCCATATCTGGAATCTGCTAGCTGAATCTGACTCTCTATGGGTAGCATGGGTAAAGAAATATCGTTTAAAGCTTAAGTCTATATGGGATGTGGCAGTTCAGTCTGCAGGCACTTGGATCTGACGAAAAAATCTTAAAAGTAGAACTGGAGTCAGACCACATATAACTGGCAGTGGTGCAACACTTGCTTGGGATGGTAAAATTCTGCCAAAATATTCTGTTAAGCTTGTCTGGCAAACTATCAGGACCCTTCAGCCTGTAGTTGAATGACACAAAGTTGTTTGGGGGAGGCCATATAGCCCGAAGCACAATCTGTTGCTCTGGCTTGTTATTCTCAATCGGGTTGTCACCAAGGATAAACTGCAAAGTTGGAGGTTTGCTGATGAAGGTTTGTGTGTTCTATGTCCAGGCGGAGCAGAGTCAAGGGACCTTTATTCTCGGCCTATCCATACAGTAGGCATGTTTTATGTTCTGTTCTATTACGCTTCTGCAATATCCTTGTTTTCAGCTCATGACAGGAACATCTAACCTGGGCAATAAGGCAGTGGAACAATGGTACAGAGACGATAGGTGAAGGGCGATTGCGATGGTCTTTGTGTATCAGTTATGTGTGGAGAGAACGATGTTGCAGGACTCATGATGCTGTGATTTGCTCCCCTAGCACGCTGATTAGAAGAATTGAAGAGGAAGTTAAATGGTTACTTGCTGCCAAACCTAGCTGATGAAAATGATGCATAGATAGGGTTTTTTGTCTTGTCCTTTGAACTGTTGCCACTTCTTTTATGGTTTGTACTTGGAGAGGGGTTTGCAGTTTGCAACCCTAGTGTTTAATGCAATTTTTTTGATTACCCATAAAAAATGATAAAATATTTGGAATATCCATATAATAAATTATTGTTATGATAAAAAAAATTATGATTAATATAGGTGAATTTATGATACAACCTGAATTTTGAGTATATACTATTTTGGTATTTAATAAATGAATGTTAAAAATATAATCATGGATTAATTTGTTCTTTTTATTTAATAACTCTTCAGTAAACATTTACAAATGACTATGGTGCATGGTGCATAGTATGCACCTGATAATTGGAGGAGTATCATGCGCCATGGTTACTTTTGTAACTAAAGTTTAAAATTAAATAATATAGGTTTTTATTTAAAATAAAATAAAATAAATCTTATGCAATAAGTGAGGGAATTTTGGTCATTTTCTGCCTCCTTAAATGGTCAACAAACATAACTTTGACAGAAAGGTAATTTTTTGAAGTATTAATATTATAACGATTTGTTTTTGCAAAAAAAAAATAGTAGATGCATTTTTTTTTTAATTTACAATAATGTCGAGATATAAAATGATATTGACCATTTTCTAGCTGTAATTTTTTTTATCATATACTATTATAAGAAATAAATATAATAAAATTGATTTTGATTGAAGTAACCTAGACTACTAGGTTTTTTCATGGAGCTTTAAGAAACGGAGAGCTTGAAAACTTTTAAACAATTGATTATTATTATTATTCTGTATTCTTATACAATAGACAAAGTAAATCGTGTCATTCGAAAAGTTGATCATTCTTTCTTAATGTTACCTATCATATTCAAGTTAATCCTTCTTTAAAGTATCTACTGCTCATATACATCTCTCAAGAGGAATTATAGTAAAAATAATTGGCTAATATAGTTATTTGGATTTAGTAGCTTATTGGTGATGTTAAGTTTCTTTATTTCAAGTACCGTATTTTATATGACTTGTCTTTGTTACACAAATATTTGAACTCAGTTTTAAGCTACATGTGTTGAACCCTGTTTGGTATTTTATAACGGGATAAATTACATGTTTGATCACTCAAATTACATAAAATTTTCACGTTTGCCATCCAAATTACTTTTGATTTTTTATCAACAACTAACTTTGTGAATCGTTTCACCATTAGTCACCGGCCGTTACACTCCGTTAAATTTGTCCTACGTGGCAGTCAACTATAAAGTTTGACCATTAACTAGATGATATGAAAATTAAAAAAATTAAAAATAAATTTATTATTCCCATTGATCATTCCACCTACTTTGTCTCTATGATTGATAATAAAAGTTAATAAAAAATGGAAGAAATATAAAAACAATTAATTACAAGATGCGGAGATCTCGGGACTGGTTACGGTGCTAATTGTACAAAAGTT